AAAATATACAGATTTAAATGATTTGCATTGCTTTAGATATAATTACAATACTACAGCAACAAGCAAGTGTATTTTTTATTTGTACTACTAGCTGGCGTCCTACTTGCCATTCCACTCTCACATTCAAAGATCTGTGTTTACATGCACTCATTTTTCAAATGATTGCAATACAGTTTTAGATTCTGGAAGTTCTGTTCATTTTAAAACGAAATTTTGCAATTCAGCTCATAAATTCGTTCACATGACATGTGCAATACATGTATTATGACCAAAGACATAAAACATATGCAAACATAGGCATCAGAGCATTTTTGAATCTGTTTGAGAAAATATTTGGATTCAAGTGTTTACATGCTCAATTGTTTTCTGTTAATCTGATTATTTCATGTATACATCACAGTAAAAAATATACAGATTTAAATGATTTGCATTGCTTTAGATATAATTACAATACTACAGCAACAAGCAAGTGTATTTTTTATTTGTACTACTAGCTGGCGTCCTACTTGCCATTCCACTCTCACATTCAAAGATCTGTGTTTACATGCACTCATTTTTTTTAGATTCTGGAAGTTCTGTTCATTTTAAAACGAAATTTTGCAATTCAGCTCATAAATTCGTTCACATGACATGTGCAATACATGTATTATGACCAAAGACATAAAACATATGCAAACATAGGCATCAGAGCATTTTTGAATCTGTTTGAGAAAATATTTGGATTCAAGTGTTTACGTGCTCAATTGTTTTCTGTTAATCTGATTATTTCATGTATACATCACGCTTTCCGCATTTTCAATTTGGTCCATTGAGGTGTTTACTTGAAGGCTTTTCAGTCAAACTGAGCCATCAATCCAATTGCTAACAGATATTTTTTTTTGGTCCATGTAAACATGCAGAGAAAAAATGAGTAATTTAAGTTTAGATTCAGTTATTTTCTTATCCATATATTTTTTTCAAGAATGCAGATGTTCATATACAGTTATATTATATATTGTTCTTCTTCTAGCTCTCCTCTGTACATTTTTATATGTTTCTATCTATGACTTTACTGTCTGGGGGAAGCACAACATAAGAACTGCACTGTACAGTGAACCAGTCAACCTGAAAAATTAAGAACTTGACTTGACAAATTATCCAGAGTCACAAGGACAGTCGCCCTGAAGCAACCTGGGTATCCTGCTCAATGGCACATGATGAAAATATCATGGATTGTCCCTTACAGGTTTTGAGCCCAGAGCTTTAACCATTAAACTACACCGTGCCCATGAAGTAATACACAACTCTAGGAATGCAATCCATCTAAACTACTCTTCGAAATTATATTTGGAGGTTAAAAGAAAGCCGTACACTGGATCACACTGCTGCATTTCACTTGGTTGGCAGAGATAAACTGTCTTTATTTCCATTCCTGAACATGCTGGATTGAGTAACAAAACCGGTTTGCCAAAAGGAGGTGAATGGTACAAACGCCTCGGCTGATTTAAAACAGCAATTAGAGCAGTGCAGAGTTGCAGTACACTACACAAACAAGAGGAGCATAACCCCTGTAGACCTGAAGCTCAACGCGAACCGTATTTACATACGATGTGCTGGTGTACTGCAGTTGCTTAGAAAATGAAGGTAGAGTGCAGAGGATGTATTTCCAAATTAGGCCATGGAGGGGGAGGAAAGGAGTATGACAGCGCAACACTGATTATCTGAACATGCAGAATTCATAGCGCTGATGTTCCACTGAGAATCTCAGCAAAGCAAAGTGGAAAAAAAAACATATCTGGAAGGTTTTTTTTATATCAGTTTAGCTTTGGGTCACAGTAAAAAGAGAAGTATTGTTTCTTATCAGCTGCAATAAAATTTGAATTTGAAATGGCTGATGTCCTCTTTTTCTGCGCTCTCTGTCAGAGGCAGCCTGCGCAGACACTTATTGGCATTTCTTGTGGAATGCTTTGAAGTGGGCTCTGATGGATTCAGTGGGGGGAAAGCCATTGCCGAATTGCACCAACAATTTTTTTCTTTCCTGCTGAAATTTGTGTAGCAAATGCCATTCACTTCTTCTCTTTAAAGAAAAGCTCTTGGTAAAGATTTTTTTTCAGGTTGTAGTTGAACTAGCATGGGAGGAGGAGGTTGGGGGTAGTCTGATAAGTTAGTTGCTATGCAACAAGATGGTTCTGTATGAAAGCATTAACATCCTCTCTGTAATGGAACCTGGTGCTACGAAAACACTGGCGCTCTAGATCAGCCATCACACAGGCGTTTTGAATCTCTTTACCCTTAAGATTAGCGATTATTTATTTGTATCTTGAACAGATCCAAATAAAGAGTGAATATTGGAAGCATTGCCTAAATCCCACCTGAAATACGCATCAGAGAAAGTGACGAAGACGGCAGGCAAGTATGGTTTGTCTTCCCGCAAGAGGACCTTAAGAACTAACAAAGACATCCACATCAGACATTTTTCTCTTCTCACGGTCTCCCAAACCACAACACAGATGAGAATCAATGGTTTTGGTGAACTTTTGCTTCGCTCCCTATTATGATGCAAAAAGACAAGAAAAAGCCTTAGGGGCAAATTCACTGAACTGTTGGGGAAAGTAGAAAATATCTAAAAGGTGGTGTTATGAATTTTATCAGCTTAGCTCATGCGTATTAATTGGGTAGTTAGGTAATGAATATTAATTATGTTTCTTCAGTGAACAAAAGGTTTCTACATGGTACTAAATTCATCATTTTACAGAGTCAGCTAAAATGTTTTTCTTTGCACTTTGCCAAAATGATACTGTAAATTTATGAAATATTTAAAATGTCCCATATTATGTCCCAAAAAGTGTTGGAGGGGAATTCAGAAATGTCTCAAAGTGGAGTAATAGTTAGGCACCTTATTCACTAACCACCACCCACAATTCAGTTCAACCCAGTGCTAATGTATTGAAATAGTGCTGCCCCATCAATATTTAAATTAAGTCATTGTCATTCTTTACAGCACGAAGACACCTTCTTTATATGGAAATGTGGCTCATTACAGATTTGCAACCTCATGCTCAGAACCAACCCACAAGACCAGAAATTGCACCATATAAATTGCAATAAGTCAAGTTTTTGGGAATGCATTTCTGTCTTCACCTGATGCACAAAATAATAATAATAATAATAATTTACGTTGATCCAAACCCATAACACTCTTGTTAATCTTGTTCACAAAGGAATATATTTATAATGAAACCTGACAGATTTCTGTCCCTTCATTAAAAGTACACAGAAAGGTTTAGTGTAATTCGAATACCTGGATGATGTACTTATTCAATGGGAAAAACAAACAAACATGTGGGTCAACATTCAATAGTTTTCACTATATAGTGGCCACACATCACAACAAGACTTGCTTCAAATGGAATAATTTAAAAAAATTATAATTCAACAGTTTTTGTCAATTCAATTACATTCCAACACAATCTCATGGCAATTTGTAAGGTTTTGGCAAATTGGTGACTAATTTCTGTCATTTGTACATCTCATTAATGTGTTTTTGTACAATCTGATTACGCCCCACTGACAGCTGTTTAGGGAACCACGATACTTTTTTCCTAAATTCATACAATATTGCCCCCTTGTAAGCTAGTTATGGTTTTCTGTGAGATAGGGTTGGAAAATCAGTGGGGTCCTAATCACTGGATCCTAGTACTGACTTTCATTGTATGTGGAAAAAAAAAAGGGGAGATATCTTCAAAATATCTTCATGTTAAACAGAAAAAAATAAGTCATACATGTTTGGAACAACATGAAGGTGAGTAAATGATGACAGACTTTTCATTTTTGGTGTACTTTACCTTTAAGACATTACCAAGGTCACCAAGTTCTACTGGAAGAACTGAAGAAAAAAAAAACAGGCATTTAATTTCAAGTGAGAATTAAGACATCTACAAGGGACAGCGATTGATTTCCTTTGTCAACTGCAATACCTTTGACATAGTCCAGACACTGCAGCTTGGCAGCCTCCAACTCTCCAACATCTTCATCACACGTCGCAAATATACAACCGTGAATGAAATCTTTGAAATAACAGTCACATGAGTCACACGGCAGACTTCAATCAAAACTCTCTGGCATCAACCCCCGACCCCCCCCCCCCCCCACCCCCCCCCCCACCCCCCCCCCCCCCCCCCACCCCCCCCGCCGCACTCGAGGGTAAAGACACAAGATACTTTTTAAATCTTTAATTTGCTTCCAGGCTTTGCTTCCCCCCCCCCCCCCCCCCCCCACCCCTAGACTCACCTGCCTCCATGTTCTTTTCAGTAACGATCTGGACATGTCAAACCACTGACCCTGTTACCGACTGTCTGAAACCCGTTATATAACCATTCCACTTGCAAATTCAGGTTTTCAAAAGGATTTCAATCGCTTTCATTTCAAGGCCAATAAGAATGTCCCCTCAGAAGCGATTGTTGTGTTTTGAACTGCATTTGTCTTTAGATTGTGTTCTGTAAAATTGAGATGTGATATGAGTTCACTTTTCATCTTTATTCAAAGCAGTTTTTCATGCTGCTTCTATTACGATGATAGCAACACACCCTTTTTCATGGTTCTTCAATAGAACTATTCAGTTGTAGTGAGCGTGCTTCAACAATAAAAGAAAAACACATTAAAGACACTGTTGTAAACCTCACCTCAAAATGAATGAACCGCTGCTGAGTCCAGGTACTATGGAGGAGATAAACACTGAGTGAGAGATGGATTTGTTTGCAGTGGCTTTTCAGTAACAGCGTGAGGTATGGAAAAGGGGAGAGGGGTAGATGCTGACAGGGTTTGTTTTCACCAGGGACTATGCTGAAAGCATTATTGCTGTGAGAGCACACACTCATGCACAAAAACAATGCACACTGCCACTATACTACAGCAAATGATCCAGTGCTTTACCAAGCCAGCGCTTGCAATTCAGATTAAGGTTGCTGTGATTCATTTTCTCTTTCAGATTCTCTTCAGAGGTCTTATCTAACAAAGGCAAAATGCTGGAGGACAGAGTGGTCGGTTTGGAGTCTCACAAACTCCGTCTCATGCCAGCACTTCACTGTAGAATGCTTAATAGCATATAGCACAGTGTACACAGTGTTCAAAAGTGTGGGGGGGAAAAGCTGAGACCTGTCTGTGAGCAGAGAAAAATCTAGCAAAAACAACTGCAACCTCAAAGCGGACTTTCCATCCACGAATCCAGGCTTCAAAGTAGACCGGCCATGTTCGGTGTAGGCTCTGCATTTCCTGAAATATAGATTTCAATGCCTATGGGATTCTGTCTACCATTTCTTATATTATACACTTCTTAAAAACAGGCTGTGGTTGTTTCAGCAAATTTAGAGCTAAATATCTGCTGCAGTAATGTTTATTCGTCAGCAATTTTTCAATATTAACAAATGCTTATTGGTACACTTCCACAACAGCGTTTTATCAATTTAAATATATAAAATAACTATATATATAACTAAAATATAAATGCATATAAATGTATATGCATATATATATATATATACAGTGGGTACGGAAAGTATTCAGACCCCCTTAAATTTTTCACTCTTTGTTATATTGCAGCCATTTGCTAAAATAATTTAAGTTAATTTTTTTTCCTCATTAATGTACACACAGCACCCCATATTGACAAAAAAACACAGAATTGTTGACATTTTTGCAGATTTATTAAAAAAGAAAAACTGAAATATCACATGGTCCTAAGTATTCAGACCCTTTGCTGTGACACTCATATATTTAACTCAGGTGCTGTCCATTTCTTCTGATCATCCTTGAGATGGTTCTACACCTTCATTTGAGTCCAGCTGTGTTTGATTATACTGATTGGACTTGATTAGGAAAGCCACACACCTGTCTATATAAGACCTTACAGCTCACAGTGCATGTCAGAGCAAATGAGAATCATGAGGTCAAAAGGAACTGCCTGAAGAGCTCAGAAA